CTTAACTTCTTTAATAAAGCTACTTAAGCGCTATAATATAATTATAATTACGCTAATAGCTACTATAATAAAGAATAAGAATATAAAAGAGAATAGTAATAGATTATAAGTAGAAGTATAGAAGATACTTTAGCCTATATAGCTTTGCAAAGTAGATATCTTCTTTATAATTATATTTAGGTATAGTATTTACTTTTATAATATACTATATTTAGTTTATTTTATAAAGCGTTAGAACTTACTCTAAAAAGAGAAAAAGGTAGTATTATAGATTAAACCTATAATCTCTACCTAATTAGGCCTAGCTCTATATTAGGTAAGAAACTTTAAAATACTACCTATATAGCTTTCTCTTTTCTATAATATAGTATCTTACTAGTAATATAATTTTAACTTAATATACCTATTATAAATTAGAGTCTTTAAGAATTTAACTTAGAAAAAAAGCTTTATAGCTATTAAAGCGTATAAATATCTATTTAGTTAGTAATATATAGTAGTAGTAGAAATAGAAGAGTACTTACTAATATAGTAAGTAAAGTAAGTATTAAAGAATAAAAGAATACCTTTAGAAACTTTTATTTATTACGCCTAGTATACGCTTATACGCTCTTAGTACTAACTTTATACTTAATAAATACTTATAAATAAGTATTATATTAATAAATTATAGTACTAAAGTAATCTTTAGTAAAAAATTAAAAATATTAAAATATTAGCTAAAGACTTAGTGCGCTAAGCTTTATAAAATTTAATCTACTTAATTATAAGTAGGCTATAAAAGCTCTATACTTATACTTGTTTCTATATATATATACTATTACTTGCAACACTAGATTAATAAAATTAAATTACGTAGTTTGTTAAAGTGTGCTTTGCTAAGAGAGTGTTCACGTTGTCGGCGAGAGGTAGAGGCTTTATAGACCACTGCTGAGCCTATTCTCAACCCCTTCAAGTCGTCGATGTACAGGTTGGCGCAGACTCACATGTCCGCGAGGCTGGTAGATCGCAATGCTGCGTCATGCAGGATGCTGTTGGTCAGCACTGCCTGAGTGTGCCGTCTATAAGTACGCCCCGCATCTCAACCTTTGCGCACTGCATCCTCTTCTCGCAGACACCACATCGCCTGCTGCCACCACTCTATTTAACCCTCTACCCGAGGTTGCGTTTAATAAACTACGAAGCTAATGTTACTTGCCTGAATCCTATTTTCCACTGTAAACGAATCAACGATGTCCTCGTCATCCTCGCCAATGCCGCGGAGCCATAAAGGATTCAACGCCAACAACGAGGAACCTTCAACCGCAGACCAGAGTCAACACGAAGGCGGCGTGGAGAAGGCCGCCGCTTCCACTGGAGCGAGAGTCGTGACAGATCCGCTGGAGATCTTCATCGACTCTATGCGAGAATGCGAGAATAGCCATCACTTCCACATGATCTGCAGAGACGGCGTGATGAGAGTCATCGAATACCTACCTGGGCCGCCTGACGAAATCACTCAAACCAACATCTTTGATGCAAAGCCCATGTCGCCGGAGCTGATCAAATCATGGTTGGACAGAGGTCCATGGAGTCAAGAGAAAGAGGACAGATTTCGCGGGATTGATGGTAGAACGGTTCCACAGGAGTAAGTCACACCTTTCATCGCACGCTCATTGAGCAGCGGAAACATCGACTGACTTAGTGCTGCTGTTGCAGGCAGTGGATGAACCCCCCTGCAGGACTAATTCCAACCTTCGGTACCAAGAACGAGCGCGACGAGGAAATGAGAAAGCACCGCGAGGAAAGGGCGGAGTTGGAACGCAAGATTGCGAGTGGTGAGGTCGAGCAGGAGCCAGCGATAGCCTGTATGGCCATCCAAAGCAACTACGACCTGAGTCCTCGTTAGGATGTAGCCAGGACTGTCTGCAGGGCGTACATCCTGTTGGTGCGCGGGTCTCTTTTACTGGCTTCGATCATGGGCATGATATGAGCCTGGACTTCAAGATGTTGGTATTAGGTAGTTCGCCTGGAAAGCTGAGTATACGTAGAAATGACTGTCGTTGCCGAATGAGGATGCTGATCGTATTGGAACCATGTCAAGTGACATAAGTTTATATTATGCGACCATACAGGAGACCAGAAATCATCACGGGGCGACGCAACTCCATCCTTCTGGGAGGCTTGTGACTCAAGGACGGCTGGGACGGCGTGCGCATTGTATGGTATCTTGGTAGCGGCCGTGCACCGGTGGCGACGCGCACCCCAACATGGGTGCGTGTTGGTTACAACAGGCAATCATCCGTCACTGCAAGATTGGAAGTACTCCAGGGCTCAGGTGTCTTTGGAGAAAGGATCGAGCAGGAAAAGCTGGAGAAGTGTCGGCGCGGCGATCGGGCAGGGCCGCTCCGAATGTGGCATCCCATTCATGAGGTTGCAGCAAACTTTGCGCCACACGGGAAGCCGGGATCGTGCGCGGCGGATTCAACTACAAACGACCCCTGAGAATTACGCCCTGCAGACAACATCAAAACACCGGCCTACAAACGCCGATGATCGGCCTTGTCACTCCAGCGGAAGCCCCACCATGTCGAAACTCTCCTTCCACGTCCTCTCTTCATTCCCCTCGCCGTATGCCCACGGCGCACACCCTTCTCGTCATGAGTCACTTTCATCTTATCGTGTCTTAATGCGATCAACTGAGGATGGTGATTCCTCGCATTCTACTAAGAGCACAAGTTTGCATACCTCTTACATTGCTACAGCAAAAGGCTATCTAGTGACTTCCATGAGGCCCTGCAGTCTATGCTACTCTTAGAGCGAAAGTAGGGCATATCCCCAACATAACATATCCTCCTAGGCATCCCCTACATCCACCTCCTCACCACCCTCAACCTCCACGTCCCCACCCACCTCATCCACCTCAACAAGAAAGTCCTCGTCCCTCGCTACCTTAGGCACCTCGCAAACCTCAAGCGCTTCCCTGAACACCCTACCCGCCCTCGTATCCTCCCGGTACCTCTTCTTCACACTCTCAACCCACGCCAAACTTCCAGGTGTGACCAAATGCGGATTAGCACCAGCTTCAAGTAAGACCAGACAAGCGATGCTACGACCGTAACGCATCGCTGCTTGGAGAGACCGCTCGACACCGGCTCGGTACGCGGGACCGTTGGGATCGGCGCCTAGTTCCAGCAGCGACTTGATGAAGATGCCAGCGGCTGGTGTTGTGCATAAGTTGACGGCGGTGAGGAGGGCGTATGTGGAGCCTTGGATCTGGTTGATGGCTAGGGTAGTTTGACCGATCTGAGGACCGAAGAGTAGATGCAGGAGATCTGGCTTCGAAAGACGGCATGCAGTTTCGAAAGCGGCGTAGATGGTTGATGGACCGGTTTGCGAAGGCAAAGCAAGAAGTAGCTTGAGTAATTCTTCTTTGTTGGTTTGGATAGCCTTGTCCAGCCAGGCTTTCATGCAGGCTTCGGTTGCTGAGCCGAACGCGGTGATGTACTTGGCCAGGAGGTATTTGGTCATGGTCATAGAGTCGTCTTCCAGTCCGATAGTGGTACAGATGGCCTGGCGGAAGGATACATGCTCGCTGTATTGGTATCCAGCGACGTCTCGGTCCTGATTGGTGATGGCTTGCTGTACCAGTGCCTTGGTGGCAACTTCTTGGCCCGCATACACCGCAGCATCAAGTGGGTAACCAAAAGCTAGTGACTGCGTCCACAGAAGACACTTGTTAGCGCCGACGAAGTGCTTCAACGCGTTGAGCTTTCCGGTTGCGGCGGCTGCAGCAATCAGGGCAGTATCAGTGACCCGGATGGTGTTCGGCATGTAGTATCCCAATTTGTTGAAGTCAGTGGTAACGCATCTGAACGCGTCGCTGTGGTTGCGAACAAACAGTTCACACAGCGCCCTCCTAAGTGCAGCCTCTTCAGTGTCGTTGGCGATCCATGGAGTCATCGCTCGCAGGATAGCGCGGATGAAGTCCGTCACATGGCTGCGTGCGAAGCCGTTGAGCTTCTTGCTTCGCACGAAGAGGAAGTCGGCGAGGTACTCCTTGAGGATCTTGCGGCCGGCAGGCGTCTTGAGGTAGGCGTTGAGGGCTGGATTGGCGAGAATGTCGTACGTGATGTAATCGCGGAACGAGGCTAATGTCGCAGTCTGTCAGCTTGGGATGTCATGTGTGCGGTTGTTGTATTGTTGGGTACTTACTGCAGGTTCCTCGAGCCAGCCACGCTGCTGGTATACCATGCTTTCTGGCTAGTGTGTTGAAGACGCGCTGGACGATCTCTATCGGTAGATCGAGTAGCTGAAGCATGTTTGTAACGTGTTCAGCGGCTGAGATGTCGAGTTCGAGGTAGAGGTAGAAGTGATGTGCGTCGGATCCGGAGAGATATTTTATATCTGTGTGTTGGCCTGGGCGCGTTGGATAAGAGACACTGAAAGTGGAGTTGGTCTGGCAATTGTCGCCCATTGCGCAATAATTCATCCTGCATTGCGCAATAACTCATCCTCCATTGCGCAATGTTTTTCCCGGACGGGCTCGTGAAATGACTAGCTTTTCGTAAACGCCCGGCACAGTGACTGTTAAGTTGTAATACTCACTCAAACTCCGCATTTCTCTCATTCGTAGTAGTTCCAAGATATTGTCGACTGTCAGAGACACTATAGTAATGGCAGGATACCTACGGTACGACTCACCCGGAGCGCTTTTCAGCTTGCTACAAGATGGGATGAGATCAAAGGCGCCTCAAACATGTTCGTGATTGACGCAACTTATAGACTTACTATTTGATGCACTTGCGATTGATAGTGAGAACTTTGACCGCCCAGACGCAGCGTGGAAGACAGAAAGCCTTCTACAATTCATGCAGTCTCGGGTATGATTGGTCAGGCGCCAAGGTGGTGAAATTGCTGGCAAGATACCTCGAGAACTCATCATATAATCCTTTGGGTGAGTCGAATGTTTTCGAGTAAGCTGGGAGTCGACTCGCTCCCAGTATGAAATAAATGCAGCATCATTGATTGGGCTGGCGTATACGTGTTGCGTCTTCCCATAGCTTTGGCCCCGGGATCTTGTACCCAGCAAGCTGCCGATGCACGTCCACTAGTATACCCTCATCCTTCATGCCGTATAAATCTTTGCCAAGAACACCACCAACTAGCTTCTTCCCCTCCTCTCTCGACTCCCGTGCGACGTGCAAGTTCACACACTGCGGATACGCCTGAGCACCATCCAGATTCTCCGCAACATGCAGCGCGATGATCTCGTGTCGCAATACGTAGTATCCTTCCGCGAGTCTCTCCGGTATCTTGACCATCCAAGAATACTCATTCGCAATGAGCACATCAGCGGCCCATGTCCCACCGAGATCCAATGTGTCCCAGCCTGTACTGTTCAGCCAGCCTAGCTCATCGATCTTCACCCATGTCAGATCACTACCTTTCCTGCTCGTGCAGCTACCCTGGCAGTCCGCCAGATACGTCATGACTGGACCGACGTGTGATACTGGCCACTCGTTCCATTGTAGCTTCAGCTCGTCACCTGCGGTGGTGTTGACGTGAAGTGCTCCCGGTATAGCATCGTAGTGGCAGGCGATGTTGGAGGTGTTGAACTGTGAGGGCGGGACGTATATGTTCCCGAGATTTGACGCGGACCATGCCGCAAGTGGACGCGGAGGTATAAGGGTGTCCGAGGAAGCCGGATCCCAGCCAGCGTAGATCTCTCCGCTGGACGTCGTGATTTGGGTGATTCGGCCGTGGGCATGGACAGCTGTGGTAAAGAAGCCCGGTATTGCGATACTGGAGAGTCGCATCTCTACTTAACGGGACGGGCTGCTGGCGATAGGCCCAAGACCTTCTTAAAACGGGAAGTGGTGCATCACGGCCGTCTTGTAGTGACCAACGACCAGGGTATTGGGCTCGTGATTTCGTTCGTAATCGCCCTTTACCCATACACACCTGGTAATTACCCCAGATTCCGCGATGTTGTACCTCATATCGACAAGAACTCGTGATTGGCCAAGCTCTCCGGTACCTTTGGAACACTTACTCTAGACTTCGCGCCTCTACCCAGAACACGTCGCGACTACTACATGGCTTGAAATGAGCCATCTTGACATGGTCGGCTTAAGAACCGTATGAACAGGCTCTGTCGCTGCATCCCGGGCTCGGATCAAGACTATTAGGGCCCAGTCGCAATGGTGTCAGTACTTGACTTCTCTTCGACCTATGCCGTGTGTCAGTGTACTAAGAAGGCCGCTACTCCTGTGAAGGTTCCTATAAGCTACCGCTCAGCAGGCACAAGGCGACGATGGCTACATTGATCTGACGTAGACCAGGTACCTAGGAAGCAATAGCCCAAAGTTGTATCGCTTTTGATGTTTGTCGTGAGAATGCGAGGATAATTCTTGAAAGATTCCGAGCTGTGGTGCATCTAACACGCGATGCTCCTGTAGAGGCATTGCCTTTCGTTTAGTATCGAGACGCGGGGTGAAGGATGTCATATTGATGACGCATGACCTCGGGAGGCGGTGACACCTGGCAGTCGACCCCGGGGCCCGCAGCAAAACGAAGAACCTCTGAGGAAACAACACCAACGAAGTAAACAGTCGCATATGATGCATACGGTGGACACGCAACATGAGAAGTGTGGGAAGTAAGGTAATCTATGGTTTAATACGTTGATGCCCAAAATTCCTCTAACATAGGCTAAGGCTCTAATGTTTCTAATATTTTAACGTAATTTTATTACTAAAATACTAGTCTCTAAGTAAGTTTTCTTCTATAATTTTACTTTAGTATTTTATTATTTTTATTAACTTATACTTACTAGCTACTCTAAGCTACTACTATTTTAGTTTATTAAATTACTTACTATACTTAGTATAGTACTTTATATCTAATTTTATAGACTCTATTTAGTAAAAAAATATTAAAAAATACTTAGCTTATTATTTTAGAATAGCTAAAAGATTTTAAAATTTTAAGATATTTAGTATATATTACTATTAGTACTAATACTTAACTATAACTATATATATTAATATACTTTTTTTATATAGTAGTTAAGAACTATATATTATACTAATTACTTAGTAAGATAATATAGTAGTAATAGAAATACTATACTAAGCCTTATAGTATCTATTCTTTAATAACTATAATATAATAACTATTTTTTTAAGTCTTAATAAAAGTTATAATAGTTTATTATAGCTACTATCTAATAAATAGTATTTTACTATATAAAATAACTTATAAATACTATATTTTTACTATTCTAGCTTTTTTTACTTTTATAAAATATTTTAGCTAAAGTATTTTTTTATAAAAGTATAGCTTTTTATAAAGCTAAAAAGAAAGATAAATTTATTATTTCTTTTACTTTATATACTTAGTTATAAATAATAATATAGTAGATAATTAGTAGTATTTTATTAGTAAGATTATTAATAGAATAGTTTTTAATAAAATAATTTTTTTAGTTTCTCTCTTTTATAAGTAAGAAACTTTAACTACTAAAGAGCTTATATATCTTACTAATAAGCTTTTTAAAAGTAAAGCTAAAAAAAAAGATAATAAAAAGTTTTACGCTAGCTATATATATAATAGAGATAATAAAGATAATAAAAATAAAAATATTAGAAATAGAAATAATAAAAATAAAAGTAATAGAAATATTAATAGACCTAGCGTATAGCTCTAAAGTACTAGTAAAGTAGCTCTTTAGAGCGCTTATAATAGTATCTAGTATAGTATAAATATAGTAGTTTATAATAGCTTTTATAATAGCTTCTAAAATAATAATTTTAAAAAAACTTATAAAGTAATACATTTAAGAGAAAAATAATTAATTAATAATAAAAAGCTTAATTAAGTTTAGTAAGTAAAGTAATATAACTAGTAATAAGATTAGCTTTAAATAAACTTACTAACGCTAGAAGAACTTATAGAAGAGAGTAAGAATATAGTTAAGAGCTTATTTAATTAGTATAGCTTTTAGTATTAAATTTAAGCTACTATTTATATTTTTAATAAGTTTTTAAATTTTTAATTTTACTATAAGCTATAAAATAAAAATAAAAGTAAAGAATAGAAAGTATATATATAAAAGTATAATTTTATAAGCTAAGATTTTAGTATTTTATTACTTTATAATTTATAGCTTAGTTAGTTATAAGCTATTAAGAATATATAATTATATTATAATTCTTTCTACTATAGTATAAGTAAATATTAGTATTTATAAAATAGTTACTTTACTACTCTAAATTTTAAAAGCTTTAACTATATTAGAAGTAGTAGCGCTAAAAACTTAAGCCTTAGTTTATCTAAAGCTTATACCTTTATAGAATTTTAACTCTTTTAGAAATATATCTTTTTATATACTAGTAATAGACTTTACTTTTTTTAGACTAGCTTATACTATAGAATTATTAGTTTACTAATAAACTATACTTAGTAATAATAGTATTTATAACTATAAGTATTATATTATTAGTAGTAAGTAGCTAGTTTCTATTTATAAAAGTTATATTTACTAGTATTTATAATAGTAAGTTATTTAAAGCGTTAATTTCTAGCTATATAATATTAATATTATTATACTAGCTAATTACTATATTTTATTAGTAGTAATTACTTTAATACTTTTAGCTATTTTACTTAAACTAATTTTATAGTATAAAAAAATAACTAGCTTAATATAGTAGCTACTTTTAAAGTACTTTACTACTAATATATATATTTTTTTTACTTTATTTAAGTTATTAATAAAATAATATTTTAGTACTAAAAGTAAGTATAGTTTAGTATTAGTAAAAGCTAAGCTTAAAAGCTAATATAGTATTACTATAATAAAGAATTTAAATAAAAATAAATAATATAGTAATAGTACTTTATATACTTAAACTTTAACTATAGTTTTATAGTATAAGCTATCTTATTATAAAGTTATTTTAAAAACTTATTACTATACTATAAATATATATAAAAATATACTAGCTTAAACTTAGTTATTAGTAAATTATAGTTATTATATACTTAACTACTTAATATACTATTAAAGTTATTATAATTAGATTATTATAAGACAAGCGCGTAAACAAGAAGACACAGGCTAAGGCCGCAGACTTCTGTCGCATCCGCGCTAGTATGTATTGGGAACCACTAGTAGCTTGGCGCCCCTCGGCTTACCCGTGAACCTCGTGACACGCCCGGCTCTTAATGAACCTCCACCTCCGCAAGGAAAAGTCCAAACTTCCGAGGTCGTTATCTACGACTTCAGGACGGTCAACATGCCACACGCAGCAGACTCAGAGGATCCAAAGCTTACCGCCACCCATGTCGCCGTTCGAGAGGCGCGAAGTCTAGCCAATGAAGCCACGCTCAGCCAATTGACTTCAATGGTGAGCCACGACCCTGCTGCAGATATTTCTGAAGTCTTGAAGCGAGAAGCAACAGCGTATCCTCGTCTGGTCGATGAGCTCGCCGAAGCATTTAACTCATCCCCAGTTGATGAGTCGCACAATGAATATTACCAGCCCTCCGTTGCGACTGGGCTGCTGGACCTGCCAGTGGATGGCTCCGTCAAAGTCACTCACTCTTTAGACCGATCGTTGCTGGATCTGGTGCATGCAATTTCAGAGTGCGACGAAGTGCTCAGCCATATACCCAAAGAAATGGCGGCAGCATTCGACCAGTTAATGCGCGGCGGAAAGATTCTATTTCAGCTCCACGACACCTTCGTCATCGAGATCGGGCCGGGTCATGTAGTCAAAGTCGCCCAGTCTCTTGATCCTGATCACATCGATAATATACAATACGTTGCCACGCATGTGCCGGAGCTCCCGATCCCCCACTGCCTAGGCGTTTTACGTAGTGACCAAAGGACTTATCTGTTCATGTCCCGAGCAACGGGCACTACACTGGAAAGTGTCTGGCCAGATCTCTCCGCTACGCAGAAGACATCCGTACAGGAGCAGCTGAACTCTTTTTTCCAGCACCTTCGCACTACCACCGGTGAGGACTCTGGATCCGGTGTACGTCTAGGGAGTTTTACGTCTGGATTATGCAAAGATCTAAGGAGAACTCAACGCATAAGCTCAGCACCTCTACGCACCGAAGCGGAATTCAACGACTTCCTTCTCCAGCACCCCAAGAAAACAGTAACGCCATGGGTTAAAATGCTTCGCAGCTCTATGAAGGACGATCATCGCATTGTAATGACACATGGTGACTTGCACCCCCGAAACATCATGGTGACTCTGGATGATAGCCAGGCTATTCCAGTGCAAGGTGAGGTGATGCATACTGAACAAACGGTCGTTCGAGTGTCTGCCATCATCGACTGGGAGGCAGCAGGCTGGTATCCAGAGTCCTGGGAATTCGTCAAAGCCGTGAGCATGATCGATCCTCGTGGCCCCTTAAGTGACTGGATCGACTTCCTACCCACCGATACTATCGGATACTTCCCCATGGAATTTTCCATCGACCGTCTGGTCGACCAGTGGCTTGGATGATGGAGGGAATGACATGCCCTGGAACGTATCGAATTATGGAGCAAGAGATAAGCGGACCCTTACACCTGCGTACATCTACAACGCACGAGCTTGGGGGCGGTGACAGGGGACCCGCAGCAAAACGGAGCGCGTGGGGAAACAACACCAACAACGAATGCGTAGTAGTCGCAAATTATAGCGGACGCGCAACGTGAGAAGTGTAGGAAGTGATCCATGGATCAGAACGTCGATGCGCGAATCCCCCTGATGCACGCTCAGGCCACCAACATCCGTCGCATCCGCGCTAGTGTGGG